GCAAGCAGCTGAATAAGCGCTCAAACACTAACAAACTGACAAGATCTTTCGCTGTCTATAGCCGGGTACCCATTTCCACCTGGGTGAAGTGGGCAAAATTTGTGTTAAATGCCTTTCCCAAGGACACAACGTCGGGCCCCTGACGGAATTCGAACCCACGACCTTAGGGTCGCGAGTCCGAGAGCCTAGCCACTAGTCCACCGGCGTCATGAAACAGCAACTTTATTTCTAAAGATCAGATTTTGAGTTTCGTACATGTGAACAGCTGACTGACGGTACACTGTTGCTTGAAATCACTGCCACTCAAATTGTTGCAAGTTTTACAGAATATGTTTTATAATAATGATATATGTTCGACATACTATTGCTACGTGTACAAGATAACATGTTGTTGAATTATTATTGCATAATATGAACTTTAAAAATATATTATACACACGATCTCTAACAGAACTAGATTTGAGAGTTTTTATTTGGGTGGTTTGTTGTATTTGTTTCTTTTGATTTTTAAACTTGACTCTGTTTTTGCGTTAGTTTTTTGTTTGTTTTGATGTTGTTTTGTTTTTGTTTTGTTTTGTTCTGTTTTTTGGTTGTTGTTGTTTTTTGGGGGGGTTTTGTTGTTTTTTTTCACTGACCTAGACAATGTAGTGATCAAGATATTGACTTTGTCAAGTTCGCTCGACTTAATCATAAATAAGAAAAACCACACATGTGGGCGGTTGGCGGGTGTTGACTTGTGGTTTGTTCCTTCTTTTTTCTTTAATAAATCTATAATCTTTATCTCTCCTCCTTTTCGTTGTAGTATGTCACTTTCTAATAACACATTTTAATTTTGCTACTTAAATGACTTAATTGTGTTGCAATTGCCATAAAACTCGTACTAACGCTAAAACTATTTTTTTAAACAATCAGTAAAAAATTTTAAAAACACAACAAAAACAAACCTGCCATAGAAAAACGATCAAAGTCACAAAGTCGATATTATATTATGTGCCAGTTGCAGGCACCCTCGAGCCAATAGTTTACTTTCTATTTTCATCCTGAGTTGGAAACCCCGTCATAAAAGGGTTCGTGTGTGGTTGGCGGGTGCTCTAGTATGGTTTGCTTATTCTTTCCTATCATACATCTATCGTCCTTATCTCCCTTCCTTCTTTTTTTGTGTTTGTTACTCTTTTGTAACACCTCTAATCTTCGGCATTTATATGACCTTATTGTGTTGAAGTGCCGTAAAACTCTTACTAAAACAAAAGGGTACAATAAGAAACCGTGAAAAAATAACGTGTTTTGAATTATAAAATTAATTGTTAAATGTAGATCTAATTCTTTTTTACCAACTCCAAATCCCAAAATGCGACTTCAGCCGTTTTTCCATTGTGGTCTTCACATACATGAACTACAGGCCAAATGTGTATTGTTCTATGATCTGTTATTATTATTATTATTATTATTATTATTATTATTATTATTATTATTATTATTATTATTATTATTATTATTATTATTATTATTATTATTATCATTACTTTTATGGGTTTTTAAAAATATTATTATCATTATAATATTCATCATCATCACCATTATTATTATTATTATTATTATTATTATTATTATTATTATTATTATTATTATTATTATTATTATTATTATTATTATATTATTATATTATTATTATTATTATTATTATTATTATTATTATTATTATTATTATTATTATTATTATTATTATTATTATTATTATTATTATTATTATTATTATTACTACTACTACTACTACTATTATTATTTATGATCACAGGTCTCGTGAACTTTTCATTTTCGCTCAAACTTTAAAATGACTACATGATGTACTCAGTAATACATTGTAGTCAGATCCATTCTCTCTCTCTCTCTCTCTCTCTCTCTCTCTCTCT